CATTTAAATTTAATTTAATTTCTATTGTTTATTTTATTTTTATCTTTATAGAAGTTACTTAATAATTCTTAACTGTTATCCCACATAAGTCACTTACAAACTTTACACACCCCTTTGGCACAAAACTAAACCTGACACAAATAACTCTAGGTTATGACTGGCTAGCTCTCAAGGCCAACTCATATTGAACATGCGGTTTACGTGACATCGACATCCGAGCCTATATATCTCATCACACTCATTAAACATAACCCTTTATTCTCCTGAAGAATAGTCAACTATTTGAAAGCGCTCGAGTTTTGGGTATCGTTTTGAAAATATTATAACTTTTGTAGATGATCCTGTGTGTTAACCACTTAACCTGGATATGAATTTAGGTGTTGACTTTATAATTTACAAACACTGAAATATTAAGTTAGGTGTAGAGTTTATAATTTACAAACACTAGAATATGAATTTAGGTGTAGACTTTATAATTTTTTTCTAAATATAATTATAACTATTTAAATTTAATTATAAAAATTGAAATGTTTATGCTTAACTGTTTTTATTTTCATATCAACCACATTACTAGAAATAAAGATATAACTTTGAAATCACTAGGATAAAACCCAATATCTACTCATAATGAACTTTGTATAGTTTCTAATTAATATTGTTTCTAAAGTTACTAGTAATGTTTATTTATATGTAAACACTGAAAGTAATATAAATCTATCAGTAGCTCTAGTAGAGGTCTAGTAAGAACCCCTACCCCCAAAATATTTTGAATTTCCTGTTTTGAGTAACAGTTTCTTAAAGTACAGATCTCTAACAGTGTTTAACATAATTTGGAACTTGCATGAATCATGTGTTTGACATAATAATTTTGAAAATAATTTTATTTCTAACAATGAAATAACTATTCAATTAATTTACACATGAACTGAAAGTAGAGATCTTTTCTTTTAAGTACTTTATTGGTGATGTTTTTAGTGTAATAAAGTTTATTAACTTTATATAACAATTTGTAGTTTAAAAATGTCACAGTAATATGTTTATTTTCAGCAACAAAAAAAAATCAGTAGTTTTGTAGTTTTAGTATAACAGCCTTGTGGAAGTTTGTAGGGAGAAACCCACATAATGCTATTAATTGTATTTTCAGCTTGTTAAAGGTCTTGCATTTTTGTATGATACATTTTCATGTTTAGTATGAACAAAATAATTTATTATCTATGGTGTTTAGAGTCTGTTTTACTTCACCATAATAGTAACCTAAATCCATTAGGTATGCGAATAATGTTATGACATTTCATTGAATTCATTATTCTCTTTTAAATTCTTACATTCAGTGTTACATCCAGCAAGAAAAAAGGGCAGGGTGGCACCCATGCAGCTTATTAACTTTAGGGCACATGTCATACTTTACTTTATATGCATGCTTTTTAATAATGTGTCAAAGTTAATTTCATTATTTGTATAGATTCCAGCTCAACACCTGCACATATTTCCAAAATATAAAATAATAAAAAATATAAAAGGTACATAAATGTTGAACTTGGAGAGACATTCAGGCACACAAAACCATACAGAGGCTGCTTTTCTCTAGGCAGAGTTGTTTTTTTTAACGTAAGTAAGGTAATTAAAAAATGAAATGAAAAAGTTTGCCAATCATTAAAAAACATATATTTGTTTCTGCCTAAATGATATAAATCCTTTCAACTATGCAAAGAAGTTAACTTTTATTTGCATTTCGTTGAAAATATGTAAAAATAAAGTATATCCATTAAGTACTTCAGTATAAAACACCTAGTAAGGCCATCTTTAAAAAAGATGTTTTGTTTGCTGTTACCTGACCAATTCACTAAAATAAATGATCCACTTTCATGACACGTGACCACTTTCAAGTTTCTTTTGTAACCAGAAAATGACCTAAGGAAGTTGAAACATTGTTACTTCTTTCCTGCATTAAATAAAAGTTTTCTATATCCTTATTAGCCATTTATTTATTTTGTATATGAGCAACTCGTGCCTAACAGATTACAATTAATAGATTAGAAAGGCAGCGATTGGTCAATGGTCACTATCACACTTTAGATGTAACTCTATATGCACAATCATTAAATAGTAGGTGTGTTATATAATATTGAATAATGAATTCAATGAAATGTCATAGCATTATTCATATTATTATTATATTTTGTTTCAACAATAAAACTAGTAGATGAAATTGTTTGAAACTTCATAAGAACTTTCATAAATGCATGTAGCTTAAGAAACATAAAGTTTGTTACTTTGATAAATTTAGTTTTTTTGCATTATGATCTTGGAAAATTACATTAGGAAATTGTATTTATAAGATATGATTATGATATTTATAATTGTTCCAAATTTGAACTTCTTTCTTTTATGTTTTGGTACATTATTTTAATAATCACGTACTTTCCTTACAGTTTGAAGTAATATTCAAGACTAAAAATAATATTTCTAAGTAAACCTAATCAATAAACGAGTATTTTTTATTTTTAACTAGGATTTCACGTTTATATATGTACATGAAAAAATAATTTTGTTTCATAAATGTATTTTTATTTCAAGTTTATGTTTCACTGCAACCATACTTTTGTTTATTGTGCTGAAAAAACCATGGGGTTAGCAGCATGAACTTCGTACATTTGCTGTTATAGTAGTACGCCTGTTGGGAGTCACTCATTCAGTCCAGTGCACGCGCATTTGAATGCTACTGTACATATGATAGTAAGAAAGCTTTTCTGTACTTGAATATTATTTCTTTGAACTTTCAAACAAGCTTATTTCAACACATGTCATTGTATGTTGTTTCACTATACAGACAAAACTAATTGCTACTAGTGAATGTATGTAATAGTTTACAGTACAGGTGGTTTGAATAACACTGCCTGACCCCAGTTACATCATATATCCTGTTACAAGAGATTACCAAATGATACAGACACCATAAATCACAAAGAAAATCACTTTACAACATTTAAAAGATTAGTCCTGGTCACATTCCTCTCATTATAGACAAGATTTATGTTGCAATTTGAAACTTAAACTCTTCAGTGTATTGACACCCCAACTGTGAAAATGTCACAGATTCCCCAGTATTATTGAGACGAATGTGTTTAGTCTGTTTCACAACCAACTTATGGGTTTTATTGTTGTCATTTGTACACTGAGTTTTAAACCCTTTGCAAAATATCAGAATAAGCTTTTTATATATATCAGTTAGACTGTTTTAATTATAAAGCAACAACAAAAGAAGTGTGGGTCTTAGTACAAAGTAAAGATAATAAGAAGGGAGAAGCAAAAAGATAAAATTCTAATGAGGTACTTGTAGTACATACAAGTCACACTAGGTTATCATTCTAAATACCAAATCATATTTTTATTATGAACTAAATATAAAATTATTAAACTTAAAACTGCTAATTTAAATGCAAAAGAATATAAAAATCAAATTCTTTCAGTTCAAAGTGCTAAGCCTAATTCATGACGATGCACTCGCCACTCAATAGATCTAAACCCTAACATTCGTGGATAAACTTCTTTCCTAAAAATATGTCCATTTTGAGCTAATTTTTCAATATAATGACTAATATAAATCTATATACGATTCTTTAATTTTCCTTAATCTAAGTGCTTGACTGAATGTAATATTTCGTTTGTTGTGTGGAGGGTGACAGCTTTGAAAATCTAAGTATTGTGGTCTATCAGTCAGTTTACGGTACAAATCAGTATGTGGAAAACCATCTTTTAATGTCAGGTTTACATCTAAAAAACTTATTTGAGTAGTGAGTAATGTAAAGTAAATTTAATAGAAGTGTGGAAGGAATTTGCATGTTTATAGAAAGATAATAAGGAGTCTTCGTCTCCTACCCAAATGAAAAAAATGTCATCTATGTATCGTTTCCAAATGTTTGGTTTCTCTTCATAACTTTCCAACAGTCTCGTCTCTAAGTCTCCCATGAAAACATTGGCATAGTTTGGTGCCATCTTTGTCCCCATAACTGTGCCTTTTGTTTGAATATAGAATTCATTATTGAATTCAAACCTGTTAAGTGTAAGAACTAGTTTAGATAAGTCTACAATAGTCTGAATGTTGGGTTTGTCAAGTTTCAAAAGGGAAGATTCAAGTGCTTTCAGGCCTTCATTGTGGGGAATGTTTGTGCAAATAGAAAAAACGTCCATGGTTCAGAGAATAGTGTTTGGAGGTAATTTTTTGTTGTTGTTAATGTCAAAGATCATGTTCAAAAAATGGGTTGTGTCTTTAATATATGATGTCAAACACGGAGGGATATCTTTGATGTGATGATCAACGTACGCAGATAAGTTCTCGGTGGGCTTACCGCAATTGGAAATAATAGGATGACCGAGATTGTTAGGTTTGTGTATCTTTGGTAACATGTAAAAGCGACCTGGAACTGGGTGTTTAGGTGAAAGGAACTATAAAGTTTCATGGATTACGTGTTGGTTTTTCTGTAAACTACATAGCCTGTTTTCAATTATTCAAATATATTCAAATTCCGGGGTGGGGTTGAAATTTACTTTTTTATAGTAGTTTATGTCATTAAGTTGTCGATAAGCTTCGTTAATATAGTTGGAGTTGTCCTGAATGACAATGGCGCCGCCCTTGTCAGCTTTTTTAATAATAATGTCATTGTCATGTTTCAGTGAAATTAGAGCAGCATGTTCGTTGTAGGAGAGATTATTCCATACGTTCAAGTCAGAGTTAATGGCTTGAATTACTTCATTCTCAATTGCAGTAATAAAGCTCTCTAAGTGTGGTTCTCTGTTGACTGGGGGTGACCAGGTGGATTTTAAAGATTTTCTTTAAACTGTGTACCGATATCGTTTGCGTTAGTGGTTTTATTGTGGAAACATTCCCAAAGTCTTAATCTGCGTGCAAATTCTTGAAGGTTGGAAATAACTTCGAAATTATCTATGTTCTTAGGGGAAGGAAAAAAGTTGAGACCTTTACTAAGAAGGTTGTGTTGAGTTTCAGTTAATGTTTTAGAGGACAGATGTACGACATTGGAAGTGTTTTCGGGTTTGGGTCTCTCCAACAAGGAAGTAGCTGAATTGGTTGAGTCAGGAGTAGAGCTTATTTTATGAGCCAAGTGAACGTGCGAGTTTGTATTATTTGAGTTATTGGTCAACGATTCACAGGTAGCATCAGTAGGGGCTTGTTTAAAGTTATTTTGTTGTGAACAGACAGTAAGATTTTGATGAGATAATCCTTTACTTTTATGTGGAAGATCATGATGTGTTTGTTCCTTGTTGTTTATCTCATGATTTTCGAAATATTTTTTTGTTTTGTTAATAAAAACATCAAGTTTATTTTGTTTATTAGTAGAAATTGTGTTCTTGGAATTTATAATGGAAATGTTCTTATCAAGATCAGCTACTGTGGATTAGCAGAAGTCTTGTGTGAGCTTCATAAGTGCAACTGAGGTGGAATGGAGGATTTTCTTCCATTCTAAACGAAATTGTTTGTCATTGGACTCTGTTGTAACTGGTGGATTCAAATTAAGTGACTTAGGTATAGTTTGACACTGTAAATGCTGTTCTAAAATGTCAGTATGGTTAATATGTCTCAGTCTCTTTTCATTCAATTTTTTAAGTCATTTGAAAGTTTTGGTAGGGTTGAGATTAGAATACGATTGGGAAGTTGTAATGGAGGGAAGGTTTAGTTTGAGGAGAGTGGAAAATTTTTTTATGGGACACTAAGGTTCAGAGTTATCAGGTTTGGAACTTTATGGAGGATTGCTAGGAATATAGAGGATACCAGAAGGAAGATTGTTTTCAAGGTGTGCAGAAGATTCGGCTTTTGGAAGGAGAAAAGTTTCAGAGATTGTGAAGTTTGGAAGGTCATCAGGATCAGGGTTTACTAGAAGGTTATTAGGAATAAGAGTGGAAGCTGTAACTTCTGCATGAGTAGAGAATTTAGGAGAAGAGTCAAATGTAAACTTTGGAATAGTTCCAGGGGAAGTAGTGATGGAATTTGGAAGTATAGAAGTGTGGCATACAGATGTATGTACTTTGTGTTGAAAGGTTGTGACTGAGGCAGGCTTCGTGGATTGGGTATCAGGTTTAGGGCTTAGGGAAAGGTTACTAGAAATAAAATTGGAAGCTGTAACTTCAGCATAGGTTAGACATTTAGGCGAGGGAACACAATTAGAGTTTGGGACAGTTCCAGGAGAAACAGGGTTTGGAAGTGTAGTAGGGGTGTGGCATACAGATGTATGCTCTTCGGGTTGAGGGTTTTTAATGAGATATGGGTATGGGGAATAGAAGAGATTGAAAGAGATTTAGGACTATGGGTGTTTGGTTGGTTTACGCTGGAGTATTCAGTATTAGTTTGTAGGCGAGGAAGAATAAAGTTGGTAATAAAGGAGTGATTCCTTGGAAGGAAAGGTGTAAACTGTCTTTTGCTAAGAAATGTCTCCTGCTTTCAAGTTTCAAGTTAGTGTTGTAAAGGAAAGACAAGTGTGGGTTACGTCATCATAGGTCATGTGTGAGAGCGTTGAATTTGTCAATTTTGTGATTTAAAGTGTCAGAAGTACAGACTTGTCTTAGAAAGAGATCATTAGTATGCCTATTAACGGCATGGTAAATAACGTTTGAGAAACATATGCGAAGGTCAGTACGGAGAGTCAAAATGTGTAACAGTAAGGTATGTAGGTCATTAAAACACTCATAAGCGGTCGTTGAGTTCCATTTGAGGTCGTTAGTTCCAACATGAAGAATTAGGTATTTTACAGTAAAGATATACAGTCTAAAAGGTCAAGTGAAGTGGCTCCACTAATGGATTTAATTAAAACATGTTGGTCTTTAACGTAAGAAAAGTGTTGATACAGGTATTTAATAATAGAATCTCCAAAAATGGCAATGTTAGGTGAAAGAAGGGGTAACTTACCATTGGTAAAATCGTGTCCATGGTCCATGAGTGGAATATCAATCTTGAT